GATGGACTAAGTCACAATACCCAATAGTGCACGATCCCATGCTTGTCATCTAGCATGTGCGTCACCTCAAAATAGCACAACGATGTAAAATCTGGGGTTTCATACCCTCAGGACAACATTTACAATCATTACTTATCTCTATCCGGTCCAAACTCTAGTCTGTGATGCCTTTGCCTCTCGAATCGGCCTTCAAATTCTCCAAATCTAACCAAAAATAGGTTTATACCTTCAAAATATGCTAAGGGAACAAAGCCCACTCGAAATTAACCAATTTACATCAAAAATCTCGAAATTGGCCAAACCCGACCCCGGGGCCCATGTCTCGGATTCCGACAAAAATTATAAAACTAGAATCCTTACACTCTCACGAGTTCATACATATCAAGAATACCAAAATTCGACCACAAATGGCCCATCAAATCCCTAGATTTAGGTCTCCAATTTTCAAGCCCTAACTTCAAATTTTAGGCTTTAAATTCCACAAATTCCATGTTTAATTAGGTAAAAATCACATTAGGATCGAGTATTAAGTCCATAAATCTTACCTCTAAGTGTTTACCTTGGTTCCCTCTTCAATCTCCCTCAAAAAGCTCCAAAATCGCTTAACAATGGTGAAACTTAGACCCAAAATCGCGGAAATGGTCTTTTAAATAGTCTGCCCATCTATTCACGATACTTATTTGTGAACACGGTCAACACCTCGCATTCGCGAAGCACAAACTTACATTGAACACTTTTTCCTTCATCGCGAATCCGACACCATGTATGCGAACGTGAAGCCTTAGCTTCTCAACCCATCACAAACGCGACTACCAGCTCGCGAACGCGAAGAACAATTCTCCAAGACCCCAGCTGCTCACCTTTCCTCTACGCAAACGCGGCAAAACCCTCGCGAACACGATGACCACGGACCTCAGCCCTTATGGCACCACCTTCGCGAATGCGAAGGCCGACTCTACTGCCTCACATCATAACCCTTCGCGAAGGCGGGACATCCATCGTGAACCAAAGGCAAAAGTCTGCAACACCAACAACAGTTTTTCTGCAACTTTTTCCAACTTGAAATGATCTGTTCAACCATTCAAAACTCACTCGAGACCTTCGGTACCTCAACCAAACATGCCAACATATCCCATAACATCATTCAAACTTGTTCCAATCTTCGGAACACTCAAAACAACATCAAAACACCAATTTTACATCGGATTCAAGCCTAAGAATTCCAAAAACTTCCAAATTCCGCTTCCAAATTCCAAAAACTTCCAAATTCTATCAAACCTCGTCTGAATGACCTGATATTTTGCACACACGTTACAAATGAGTCAACGGACCTACTCCAACTTCCGGAATTCCATTCTGACCCCTATATCAAAATCTCACCTATCAACTAGAAAACGCCAAAATTCCAATTTCGCCAATTCAAGCCTAAATCTACTCCGGACCTCCAAAACCCATTCCGATCATGATCCTAAGTCCCAAATCACCTCCCAAAGCTATCCGAACCAATCTGAGCCCTTTTTCACATAAGTCAATATCCGGTTGACTTTTCTAACTTAAGCTTACTCAAAAGAGACTAAGCGTCTCAAACCTCACCGAAACCTCTCCGAACCCGAGCCAACCAACCCGATAACATATAATACAGGTGAACAAGACAATAAGAAGCATAAATGGGGGAAATAGAGCGGTAACTCATGAAACGACCGGCCAGGTCATTACATGTTGTCACAAGAACATTATGTTGAGAGACTTCTTAAGAAATTTGAATATTTTAATGTTACATCTGTGAGAACTCCTTTTGATGCTAACTCACAGTTGAAAAAGAATAATGGTGGCCCAGTTTCTCAGTCTAAATATGCACAGATTATTGGGAGACTGATGCATTTAATGAATTTTACAAGGCTTGATATAGCCTATGTTGTATGTAGACTGAGTAGATATACTCATAATCCCAACAGAGAGCATTGATCTGCATTAGATAGACTAATGAAATATTTGAGATGAGCCATGAATTATGGTATCCTGTACAGTGGATTTCCTTCTACTTTAGAAGGGTATAGTGATGCAAACTGGATCTCTGATTCAGATGAGATAAAATCTACTAGTGGTTATGTATTCACCCTTGGTGGTGGTGCAATATCATGGAAATCAGCTAAATAGACGATCATTGCTAGATCGACTATGGAATCAGAGTTTGTAGCTCTGGAGTTAGCTGGTTCTGAGGCTGAGTGGCTAAGAAACTTCTTAGCTAATATCCCTTTAATAAAGGACGTATTGCCTCCTGTGTCTATGCATTGTGATTGTCAAGCGGCAATAGCTATTGCAAAGAATAAATCTTATAATTGTAAAAGTAGACACATGAAATTGAGACATGATGTCATAAAACAGCTGTTGAGAGATGGAATAATTTCCATTGATTATGTGAAGTCAGAGATAAAATTGGTCGATCCTCTCACTTAAACCGCGAGAAGAAAATTAATTATTCAAACCTCAAAAGAGATGGGGTTAAGGATGAAATGTTGTCAATAGAGATGGTAACCCATCCTATATGATTGAAGATCTCATGAAGTAGGTTCATATGGGTAATAACAAGTTAATATTGGCACTGATGCATTAAAAGAGAGTGCTTGACTGCTACTAATTGAGAAGCTGAGTTATAACTCTTAATGAAATTCATAGTCCTTATGGATGGTGTATTTAAAAGTAGTATACACTTGATAAATTTACCTATATGAGAGTGGAGTGAGTCGCTCCTATGAGATTTTGGCCTAGTCTCTAGAGCTCTCATGAATAACCAGGCACGAGCATGGCCTATTGGGCGCAAAATCGCGTTGAACAGCAAAATTACCGGGGGTCGAAATGTGATTGATAAAATCTCTGAGTTACAATAAGAGTTAATGGTTCATAGAAATATTATATTTCACCAGTAATTGTGAGTTAAATTTTATTGATCTAAATTTGGTTCATAGTCCAGAAGACACCAAACCTATTAAATTTGGACCATACAAATCCAACAAGTTTATTTTTGAAAGTCTTTAAAATAGTGGGGGACCGTGGCAATATTTTAAAGACTTTTGTGACAAATGACTTAACCAAAAATATGTGGCAAGCCTTCTAGAAGGGAAGAGATAAATAGCAAGAAGCTTTTGAAAATTGCATTTGCCACGCTCTTTCCTCTCATCATATGGATCCATGCACATGTGCCTATAAATAGGTCTCAACTAGACAAGAAAACCATCATTAGCAAGACAAAGAAATTCTTCTACTTCTTTCCTTCTAATTTCGGTCTTCGTCAGCTTTTATTTGTGGTTTTTTCTTCTCAAAGTTTAGTAGTTTAATTTTCTTTATTCCCCTCTTTTAAATAGCTAGGTTTGTAATATTTAATTTTGCGGATTTCTGTATTCTCTAAATAATTAGCGATGGGCTTGTTTAATCTTGGAGAAACATTTCACATTGCTAAAATAGTTTCTTAAGATAGTGCCCAATACGACTCAAGCCAATTCATATATCTGCTCACAAATAATATTATTGCAGTATTATTATTGTACTTTTCCGTGTCATTTCCCTACACATCTAAGTACTCATGTAAATAATAGTAGTACTTTTTAGTGCCTTTCCATTGTCTTTTTGGCCCGACTCCGTCAATTATAAGTTGGATATTAAGAAGTCTGATATTTCTCTTCCCTCTGTAGTTATGCTTTTCATTAGTCATCACTTCATCTTTGGTTCAGTTTCCCAAAACTACTGCCTCGTTTGTTTCGTTATTCCAAAGGGGAAAAGAGGAATTTAGGGAAATAAGCGTTGTGAGGTAAACATCATGTAGTACGACGACAAAGTTGAGGACCTACGCAAAAATGCCAAAACGAGATAAACATTTATCTAATGTTGCTGTAGATTAGTGGCCATGTGTCTCTGCCTAACTGGAAGTAGCCCATCTTTGATATTTTGTATAGGGGTTTCAAATCTTTTATGGTTCAAATTCCAGCATTCCATGTGTGTTACCAACACAGTATTTTGGTGTATTCCTATTCCCCTTTTGTCATAAAGTACAATGAATAGAATGCTTTTTCGTTCTTTCAAATCTTTTGGTAGGCCAAAATTTGGATCAAACACGGTTTTGTCTGATGGAAGGTGTATTTCTTCTCAATTTGATACTTAACGAATTTTTGGTGAATAGCCAAACGGATAAGCATTATAGATGAAGATGGAATCAAAAGGTTTCTTCATTATTAATCCTCTACACTCTACAACAATCAGGGCGAATCTATTGAATAAGCTATGGGTATACGTTCCATTAAATTAGTACAAATATACTATAAATTTTGACTTTAAATTCTGAAAGATTAAAGGAAAAATGATATTGTATAGCCGTTGTAAAAATAATAACCGAACAAATACACTTTTTCGACTATCAAATACAAAATAATTTCTGGCGCGAGCTAAAAGTGATAATACCCCAAGATTAAATCTTAGATGGTGTAGACATAATTTTTATCAAGCGGTGTCAATACTTGAAAAAAATGAACAAAAGAATAAATCACTCTAATGATAAGCGATGTCATTTTTTATACCCTAATAATTTCATCTTTTTATATGTTACAGTCAGACCTTTCTATAACAGCATCCTTATATAACAGTCACATTCACTTTAAAAATCAAGTTTTACTTGGAACCTCTCTATAACAACATCCTTATATAACAGTCACATTCACTTTAAAAATCAAGTTCGGAATCGATGTTTATATTATGTTACAATATATATTTTCTATAACAATACTTCACTATAACAGCCCAAAAATATCATAACAAACAAGATTGTTATTGAGATATTTAATTGTATTTAGTAAAATTTTGGACCAAGGGGTGAAAGGGTGTATTCGCCCCTGCCTAGATTAGTATCTGGTCATTAAAGTACTACAATAGTAAAGTAGAAATAGTTATATTGCTACTCCAAGTTCCTCTTCTTTTTTAAAATTTGTACATTTTTTGGGATTTTACGCATGACCCCTGAAACTCAATACAGCCGGGAAGGATCATAGCGACTATTCAGCTGATCACCCTTCTTCCTTGTCCCTCAAATATTTATTTCTCAAATTAAGTCCCAACAATTTCTGATCACTTCTCATCGTATGTGCCGACCATTTCCCTTACCCCATGCCCCCATCTCCCACCCCACCCCTACTCTCAATCTCTGTATATATATACACACACTCAACACTAAATATCTTCCACCAAGTTTGATGAGTTGTCACATATCTCATAAAAGCAGTTATCCACTTTCCACAAAAAAAACGTACAGTACTTCCAACTTCTCAGACTAAGAACAAAAATCTCCTTTAACAGTGGGATTTACTTCCTGATATCTTGTGTGATAACCCAATTTTCCTATATTAAAGAACTACTACGTAGTAAGTACTTGTTTCGTGAGAAAGTTTAGACAATTTTGAACTATGAAGAAAGTAAGAGGTTTCAAACTTGGGAGGAGGTTAGTGAGAGTTTTCAGCTGGTTTATTAACCAGAAAACAAAAGGAGGTGGAGGAGGATACAAGAGGGTGAAGTTACAGGGATGTGGCAGCACAGCCATTTCGAAGCTGAGTAAGTGTTTACGCTTACTAAAACATGGAGTAAAAAGTCTCTGTATTGCGAAACCCAATTCGGGTTTTTTCCGGGTCGGGCAAGAACTGATAGAGTCGAAGAAAGTGAGTGTACCGAAGGGACACTTGGCTGTGTACGTTGGAGAGGATAAAGATGACACGTGTAGAATTGTGGTGCCTGTTATATATTTTAATCACCCGTTATTTGCTGATTTGTTGAGGGAGGCAGAGATGGTTTATGGGTATAATCATTCGGGCGGGATCCAAATCCCTTGTCGGATATCTGAATTTGAGAACGTTCAATCAAGAATCGCCGCCACCGGCGGTGGTGGAAAATGCCGTGGAGAGCGGAGCTGGAGGCTCAAGTAACATTTTCAGTCGTGTTGATGAATGACGATGTCTTTACCAAATTTGACAACTTCATTGTCAAAGTAACAAGGCAGTGATTCTGCCTAATAACTCTTAACTTTCGCTGATTAAACAGACACCGGTTTTATTGCTATTTATTAGCGGATAAAAAAAAAATGGTGGACTTCAGCTGGTTGCACGTGTACGCATATATTGCTTTCAAATACTATCACGTTTGCTTACTAAAGAGTCTTCTTTGCCTATGATTTAGAACGAAAAGCCAATGCAATTATCAAAACCTATATTTGTTCTATTCTCCCAAGCCATAATTCAATTTACTGAACTTCATAAACTTGCCAAATTTGTAAAGGCTAGTTACATATTTGGCCAGTTGGTACAAAATAATTACATTCGCTAGTTATATTGTCACGACCCTAAAACTGATCCGGTCGTGATGGAGTCTATCGTGAAACTAGGTCAGCCGACACAACTCTTAAATAAATTATTTATCAATAAGAATCATGTTTAAGCCTTTAATTTAAACAAATATTTCATAATATAAGTCTAAATAAACAATGAAGAAATAATATACAAGCCTGACATCGGGTGTCACAAGTCACAAGCATCTACTAAGATCTGAATACAACGAAAAAGTCTGAAAATGTATTAAATATAGTCTAATGAAAGCAAGAGGGAGAAAAGCTGTGTTGCGAGCACCAGGCAGCTACCTTGTTAAACTCCGATGACTTTGCCTCTGAGCAATCGACACCCGCTACCGGGTTCAGAAAATACATGGATCTGCACACAAGGTGCAGGGAGTAATGTGAGTACTCCAACTCAGTAAGTAATAAAGGTAAATGAAAGCTGAGTAGTAAGAAAATACGTAAACCACGTCAAAACGCTACAACAAATGCAGGATATTTCCAACACTGTACAGAAATCATTTACTTCGTAAATCATGTTCAGTTTCGGTAAAAACCCTTTTTAAAATAATTTTCAATAGTTTTCAAACGAGTGATAAAACAGTGAGTAAACATGATAGAAACATAAACAACCCCTCGGGCAAAACATGTACCATAAACCGCCCCTCGGGCATAATATCAATAGAACCAACCCCTCGGGCTACCTCACAATCACTCGTAATCAGCCCCTCAGGTATAACATAAATCAAGAATCGCCCCTTGGGCAATAACATGAAACAACATCAGCCCCTCGGGCTATATCACATCTCATACTGGGTGTCTGCGCTCATTGGAGGTGTACAGACTCCGGGAGGGGCCCCTTACGGCCCAACCGCAATAACAAGTCATCTCGTGGCATAATCAATATATCACTCACTCAGGGTACCCCCGCTCACTGGGGGTGTACAGACTCCGAGAGGGGGCCCTTATAGCCCAAGCACAATATCAAGCCACCTCGTGGCATAATCAATAGGCTCTCGGCCTCATATCAAGCCACCTTGTGGCGTACAACTCAGGCCCTCGGCCTCATAATCATAACTTAGTGTATCACTACTACGGCGTGCAGACTGACCCAAAAGTATCCTCACAACAGAGACCCTCGGCCTTACTCAGTCAGAAATCTCTAAAAGCCACTCAGGTACAGTAAAATATGATGCTCAGCCCAAAATATCATTTAAAGTATTAAAACAGAGTAAACATGGATGAGTTAAGAAAACAGTAAAATATAACATGACTGAGTACAGATATAAAAATCAAAACAGTGAGAAAATAGCAATAAAAATCCCCTAAGGGTCCAAAACAGTTGGCACGAGGCGCAAATATGGCATTCAGCCCAAAACATGATAATAGCAAATAGTTTTCAATCAAATAAGCAGTAAAACAGTCATTCGGGACGGACTAAGTCACAATCCCCAACGGTGCACGACCCCACGCCCGTCATCCAGCGAGTGCGTCACCTCAAAGTAGCACAACGATGTAAAGTCCGGGGTTTTATACCCTCAGGACAGACATTTACAATCATTACTTACCTCTATCCGGTCCAAACTCTAGCCCGCGATGCCTTTGCCCTCTCGAAATGACCTCCGGATGCTCCAAATCTAACCAAAATCAGTGCAAAATAATCAAAATATGCTAAGAAAACAAAGCCCACTCGAAAGAAATCAAATTACAAAACAAATCCCGAAATTGGCCAAACCCGACCCCTGGGCCCACGTCTCGGATTCCAAAAAAATTACATCAATAGACTCCTTATCACTCCCTGAATTCATTCATATCAAAATCACCAAAATCCAACCACAATTGATCCCTCAAATCCCTAATTTTAGGTCTCCAATTACAAGCCCTAGTTCTTCAATATTAGGCTTAAATTCCATGATTAATTAGGTAGAAAAAACATTAGAATTGAGTATAAAGTCCTTAAATCTTACCTCCAAGTGTTCCCCCTTGATTCCCTCTTCAATCCCCTTCAAAAAGCTTCAAAATCGCCCAAAATATGAAGGAACTTAGGTTCAAAATCGCGGAAATGGCCTTTTTAACCATTGTGCCCAGCTATTAAATTTCTTTAATCGCGATCGCGGGACCCTCATCGCGATTGCGAAGCACAAGCTTCTCAAACCCCAAATTTACTCTACGCGAACGTGGATGGACCCACGCGAATGCGATGCACTGGACTTTACACCTACGCGAACTCGACTAGAGCCACGCGTTAGCGATTCATAACTTGCCCAACTCACGCGATCGCAACTCAAGTTACGCGATCGTGAAGCACAACCTGAACTGCCCCCATCAAATCTCTACGCGATCGTGAAGAAGGAAAACCTGCAACAGCTGAAGCCAAAAATCAGCAACTTCTCAACATGCAATTTCATCCGCTTAACCACCCGAGGCCCTCGGGACCTCAACCAAACATGCCAACATATCTCATAACATCATTCAAACTTGTTCCAACCTTCGGAACGCTCAAAACAACATCAAAATACCAAAATCACATCGGATCCAAGCCTAAGAATTCCAAGAACTTCCAAATTCCACTTTCGATCAAAAAGTCTACCAAACCTCGTCCGAATGACCTAAAATTTTGCACACATGTCATAAATGACACAACGGACCTACTTCAACTTCCGGAATTCCATTCCGACCCCTATATCAAAATCTCACATATCAACTAATAAACGCCAAAATTTCAATTTCGCCAATTCAAGCCTAATTCTATTCCGGACCTTCAAAACACATTCCAACCATGTTCCTAAGTCCCAAATAACCTAACGGAGCTAACCAAATTATAAAAATTCTAATCCGAGGTCATCTACTAACAAGTCAAATCTTGGTCAAACCTTTCAAATTTTAAGCTTCAAACTGAGAACTGTTCTTCCAAATTCATTCCGATTACCCTGAAAATCAAAATCGACGATTTATATAAGTCATAATACATCACACGGGGTTAGTCATGCCCGAGAACTGGCGAGCGAAGTGCAAAAGCTCAAAACGACCGGTCGGGTCGTTACATCCTCCCCCACTTAAACATACGTTCGTCCTCGAACGTGCCCAGAGTTGTTCCGAAACCCATCAAATCACTGTGTAACCTTACCATACACATACCCGAGGTGATCCCACGTCACCTTATCTCACACAATGTAACTGAAATTTCACAATCCAACCTGACCATAAACCTTAGAACCGCATTTCTACTTCTGAAACCATCTACAAGATCGGAATCTCACATCTATACTCTGGGTAAGCCCGAACCAACTGTAATAACCCATACCTGCAACATCAGGTGCAATTACATGACGTACCATGTAACTCAAACACTTGTAGTGATAATTTCTAATCACAGCAGTTGCTCAAAACAACCGAATATCGATAATAAGCCTCTTATCAAATAAAACCTCTTTCCAACACTTCCGTACACTGCCAATGATAAATGAAAACATGTAGAAAGTCATAACCATTTCCCAGATCAACCATTCGTGAAGCCATTTCCCCTTTGGCAAGAACCATGGCGAATTTCTGAGCCGAACATCGATATTATCCTTCTAACACGCTAAAATCGAATCCGTTTATATTCATTCTAGATCCCAATGATCTCATCTAATCCAACACAACTACTTTGATGGCATGACACATCAATGCAATCTAAAGCCACAATTCGTAAAATCCTCACACCAATAAGCAACGATCTGAACGTACTCAAATCATGAAAAATGACACAAATGAAAGAGTTGTACCACAAGCTCACCAGTACCACCACAACACAATGCTGAGAACCCGTCACACATTGTAGAAACAGAACACACGAATCTAACTCAAAGGCTCATACCTCCACATAACTTCACTGCAATGCGCAACCCTATCCAAACACTGGTCCATATGAAACACCTCAAGCCACTATGCTCAAAATCGACAACCACATGCAATTTGCGCTCTAGAACCAAAGCAAATCATCATAACCACGGCGAACCAATTAACATAACATTACACAAACCCGAAAGGACACAACCGATATGCCATTCGCCGAGCAATACCCAATACTTCTCCCGCTCAAATTCCACTGAGAGACCCCAATAAAGTCGCACCACATGTGCCTATAACCAACAAATCCCAATGCCTCGCAACACGGAAAGGTAACTCAAAGACCTCCCCAGATCACTAATAAGCTCAATAACAATCGAATCAACACATCCCTCAATAATACAACTCGGAGTCAACCAAGCCGACTCAATGCCGAACACACATCCATATTGGTCTACCAATGAACTCCTTATTAAGGAGTCCCTGAAGTCGTTCCTTCAACTCCTCTAACTCCGTCGGTGCCATACGCTACGGTGCCCGATACCAAATCAATACCAAAATGAACAACCCCGTCCGGCGACATGCCCGACAACAGGAAACACATCCGAAAAATCCCTCATCACCGGAACTGAATCAATGGTAGGAGTCTCTGTAGTGACATTCACCATGAAGGCCAAATAATAAAGACAACTCTTCCCAACCATCAGCTGGGTCTTCAATAATGAAATCACCCTACTAAGAATAGAACCTGTCGAACCTCGCCACTCCATCCGTGGCATCCCCGGCATAGCCAACGCCGCCGTCTTGGTGCAATAGTCCAGAATAACACAACACGAAGGCAACCAGTCTATACCCAATATCACATTAAAAACTAACATACCAAGCCACAAAGGATCCACTCGGGTCTCCAAACCTCCGATACTTACCACACAAGATCGATATACACGGTACACAACCACGACCTACCCTATTTATGAGAACTCCCAGTCTCCAAATCCATACAGCACGCGAATCACCATATCCGGTCCCAACTCCACCGTCCAAATATACAACACACCTCTAATACCCAATCATTCCAAGAGAGGTATTCCTAAAATTC